TAAAATCTCAGCTGTATGCCTTACAAATCCTGTATAATTTGGCCTCTGCCTAGTCCCTCTGCCTTGCTTGCTCTGTCCCAACCTTCTCATGGCAGATACTTTCTTGTTGTTCAGATATGTCTTCATTGCTTCTTCAAAGAAAGTTGTGTTTTCTTTAATTACATAGTCACTCTGTACCACACTATCCCATTGCAATGCTCTGTAAAGAACTTATTGTTCTGTCTCTTTACTGGATCATAAACATGTTGTGAATAGCTACTGATAAAGTTCTGCAGGTTCATTACTACAAGTTCCCTGCAGGTTCATCTGAACAGTGCGGAGAAGGTTGTCAATACATATTTATTAAGTGAATGATTGAATGAATGCCCACAGTTCCTTTCAAGGTACACGCATCTGTGCACTGAGCCCCTAGTCCTATATAATAAAAGGCTAATATACAAATAAATTGAATGGCGGAATGACCAGTTGGTATGACATGCATTGACCACCAGGGGACATTTGCTTAATACAGGAACTGCCCCATGGTGGTCAATACACTCCCACAGGGGGAGTGCTACTCATCCAGAAGGCGGGCTCACAGCTGATGAGTGGAGTGGTAGTGGCAGGAGTGCTAAGGATGTCAGTCGTACATCCCTCAAGGGCTCCCAGACTGTGAGAGGGTGCAGGCTGGGCAGAGGAACCCCCTACCCTGAGTGAACAAATTTCATGCACCGGGCCTTTAGTTGATAACAATTAAAAATTTCTGACAATTGTTTTGAAGACTCTCTATCCTTGCACATGCCATCTTGAATTGATTTATATTGTACTGGGTTCATAAATAGTTTGATTTCTTTATATAGATATCAATCTTGTCCTCCATGATGGCAAGTAGAATGACTCCAAACAGGCCTCTGTCACAGAGAAATTGAATTAGGATTGTTAACCCAACCAATTTTGGTCTAGGTTCAGCAATAGCATTATGATTCACACAAGCCCTGAAAATCTGGATGCTGAAATTGTATTTTTCTATAAAGTAAAATTAATTTGACTTCCATGTATAGCAAATAATTGCTTTAAAGAAACATAAAATGACAAGCATTACATTTTTGTAAAAGGAAACATAATTTCAATTTAATTATTACTAAAGCAAAATGTTTTTATTTCTCTGAAAGGTGAAACTTATTTTGGTTAAATAATAATTGGAATACTATTTTCAACTTTGAGGTTGGCAATTTCAATTCAATTCATTCAGTATCTACTGAGCATCTATAGTAGGCAAGGCATCGTGTTACAGGAAATTGAAAGATCTTATAAAATACAGTAACGTGATGAGTAGAATAGAAAATAGGCAAATGAATAAAAAGTAAGGTTATTTATTATAGTTTTTAGGATGGGGGAAGGGAAGACTGAGAATAGGTACATTATATTGAGACGATAATGTTTTCAGAAAGGAAAAAAATAGAGGCAATATACTGTGTGATATTAAAATATCAACAAGGAAAAGTTTATTGGTTCTAAGGGTTCTGACTCACTAGAAATAATTTCTGTGGGAACTTGCTTTTCATTCTTAAAAAATTTTAAAAACTTTCTTACCTAGTTTAAGTAGGTCTGTCCGTTAACAGAGATCTATGGAGGCCAAAACCTCATTATAAGATTGGGAAACTATCATGGTTTTTACTCAGACTCCAATGTAGTATGAGTATAATTATTCCAGTTTATGACTTAACCCATACTCGCTTCATAGATCATCCTATATAATAAAATTCTAATATGCTAAGTGTCTGGTCATCTGGTCGTCTGTTCAGCCAATCAAATGTAATATGCTAATGATATGCTAAGGTCTCTCAACCACTCCCTATGACAAGCACTGACAGCCAGGGGATAGACAGTTGACTGGTTGACCAGTCAGTATGACATGCACTGACCACCAGGGAGCATACACACTGAGCAGTAGGTTAGCTTGCTGCTGGAGTCCAGCTGATCTGGACTGAGCAAGACAGGTCACACACCCCCTGGAGCCCTCCCATAGTTCCTCCCTGGCTAGCCAACCTCCTGTGTCCCTCCCTGGACCTGATCGTGCACTGGTGGGGTCTCTTGGCTTGGCCTGTGCCCTCTCAAAATCCAGGCTGAGGGACCCTTCTTCCGTGCCCCCCCAACCCCTTCTCCATGGAGTGCACAAATATCATGTACTGGACCTCTAGTCCATAATGTCACATAAAAGTGATAGTGAAGGATGCAACAGGCCCACTGAATGCGATTTTGGTAAGAGCACCTCTGAACTTGCACGTTATGTGAGACTAATAAATCAAATGAGTTGTGTAAAGCAGCTAGTCCCTGAGAATCACAGCTACTGGTAATGATAAATCTTGGGGAAAGAAAGGCATGGGGAACATGAGCATAATCTTTAAATAGTTACACTTTCCCAGAAATGAATTTTAAACTGACATTTATATATGGGCAAATTTATAGGTAATGGTTGAAATTGACAGAGAGGCTATTTTTTTTCTTAATATTGTAGAAAGATCATGAAATGCTGGAAGTTGGTGATAGCCACATTTTTAGAATTCAAGTCTAGACTGCTAGGGAAGAAGAGCAGGTTGCCTGTAGTGCCCCAAATTGAACTCTACTAGAGTCTCAATAGAAGCAGTACCACCTCCCTGAGGGTACTTTGAAGTTTGCAAAATGTTTTTAATAGTTACCACAGAAGCTAACTGGACTTTTGTGAGTGGGACATGGAAATGCTAGATGTCCTGCAATGATGAAGAAAGCTCCAAACAGAAACATTGTCCATATCCAATGTATCACGTGACTTTCTGATGCCACATCAGAATAAACCCATTATAAATATAATTGCAAGTTTATATTTTACTGTGTAATACTGGATCTTTTTCCCCCCAATGAGTTAAGTAAAATAACTTAGAAGTAGGCTGTCAGCAAAGCAAGAAAGATATGCAAGTGGAATTAAGAAGAGATTTAAAAATTATGTAATAATTTACTTTTTTCTACCCATAGTGTCCATTCAATATGTTATGTATTTCCAACTACCTATTTAAGTTTAAAGGGTTTCAGTGCAAGAATTTAGTTTTTGCATGGCAAATATAAGACAAAAAATTTAAGACAGTGCAATAGATTACAGAGAAATGCGATTATTGGGTAAACTAAGGAAAGATTATGCTTTGTTTTCTTTGGGCTATTCTAGGAGTCTTCTAAATGTACATTACTGTCAGCTATGCTATTTATGGCATTTAAGCTGCTAACAAAAATACCCTGGATCAATTTTTACTTACAGCTGCACATATGAACATAGGCAATAACAGTGATTATTTGAGACTCATGAATACACTCAGACACAGCTTAAAATTAGCAGACATCTGAAACAGTGATATCAGTGAGTTACGTTAAGTGTTTTAAAATATTTTGCCATTTTATATATTTTAATAAAAAAATAAGATCTCTGCTGTGAAAATTACTTATTGAATTGAAATGCATTTATTTTGGGGGTCAGTATTCAAACTGATAATACTGTTCCTTGAGGTCTACCATACAACTTTTTGCCAATCCATCCTTTTTTGCCTGCTGCTGATTATAGAATGATCATCTCAGAGGTCCCTTTATCTATTAGAAACTAAATGAATATATCAATGCATGGTACATTGTTTTTTTGTTTTGTGTTTTTTGTTTGTTTGAAGCATTACAAATAGTAGTACTTATTTGTGTTTCATAATATGGAAATTTATTTTGATACTACACTACAACAATAAGTTTTAGCTCAGTTTCAAGAATTTCATACTTTCCTCATTTCTCCTCATCCACAACTTATTATTTTTCTTGGCATTATTATTTCTACTTTAATAAAGGTTATTTCTCTCTTTCTTTTAGAAGATGAAAATATATCTAGTCTCTTATATTTCTCTAAATTTTAGGTTTTATTCTATCTGTACTATGCTTGCTCAGTTATTTATAAGTAATCAACATGAACTTGTTCATTTCTTCATTTATTTGTATACTTCTTATATGGAGGAACTACTGATCCTTTTACTTCTTATAAACTCCAATTTATTTATATTAATAATGTGTGGTCATCAAGTAATTTCATTATGATATTTTTTGAAGAGCTGTATCTGAACATATACATAGGGAATCCATACCCATTTATTATAAATTTGAGTCCTGGTGCATGCATGAATTCATGCTCCAGTGGGATATGTTGGCCTGGCCTGTGGAATTGGGCTGAAACTGGCTTTCTGACATCCCCTGAGGGGTCCTGGATTGCAAGAGGGCTCAGGTCAGGCCAAGGGATCCCACCAGTTCATGATCAGGGCCAGGGAGGGACTGCGGAAGGGCTCCAGGGCATGTCTGGCCCATCTCACTCAGTCCCAATCGGCTAGACCCTAGCAGCAAGCTAACCTACTAGCTGGAGTGTCTATCCCCTGGTGGTTAGTGCACATCATAGGGAGCATATGAGCGACATTAGCATATCATTAGCATATTACACTTTGATTGGTTAAATGGCTATTGGACATAGGGAGACAGCATATTAGGCTTTTATTATATGGTATTATTTTATTTTATCTTGATTTTATATTAAAGTTAAGACATCAAATTTTAAAATATCAACACATGGGTTATTTTTCTTATGCATTTAATTGAAGATATTAAAGAGAGCATTACATAATAATGATATGAAAAGGAAATGGCTCCTGATGGGTTGAGTACACTGCACTGGATAATCTCAAAGGTCCTTTCATCTTTAAGTCCTGAGATTCCTTAGTTTCTCTAAGCTTACTATGATTGATGGACACTCCTGTCTCCCAACACAGTAAACATTGCTCTCACAGAAACTTATACTAAAATGAACACAATATTTTGGTAATATAAATGACTATATTTTACGTCTAAAAGAGAGCGAGCTGTTTTTTGCTATTTCACTGAGTTGAGAAGACCATGCTAAACCAAGAAATGCAAATGCTAGTTTCCCCAGCATGATCACTTTCACACTCACACCTGTGCACTCATCTCACCTAGCTTGACAAGGCGGAGCATGGAGGTATTACTTCCTCTTTCAGTGCACGCAGTTACAGAGAGATTGTAGATATCTCCTGGAGGCAGGCTGAGAATTGCAGTCATGACATTGCGTGTTACCTGCAAGATCATCGAAATCGAGGGCTTAACCTTCTGATCAAGTTGAACTCTAATACCATTCTAAACTATTACAGGACTATCACAGACATGGTTTCTCTGTTCTGTGCTGCAATCTACAATTGATTACAATCTTATGAGTAAGTTATTTCCTCTAAAAATGATATAAATTTTTTATCTGAGCCAAATGCAAAGTAGCTCTAAATATGCATAATCCATATCAGAGAATTTTTGCAGTTAATTCCCTTGTTTGGAACAGGTATCACTGATATTTTCCCTGCTGGGCTGTTCCTGATAGAAATATTTCTCAGCCCTGAAACACGCAGAAGAAACATAGCCATATCAGGATACTTGGCTTCTTAACTGAAACTGTATATCCCAGAACTTCCCTGTAGCTAGAGGAAAGCATATGATCCAATTCTGACCAATGGTTTGTAAATAGAAGTCATGTGGGCAACTTATAGTTTTATTCACACTGTGTAGGTACCAGGCTTTCATGTCCTGTCTTCCCTGCACAGGTGATTCTAATGATAATGGTCACACTGTGCAGATAAGGCTGATATAGAGTGGCAGTTGGAGCAACAGAGAGAGAGCATCTGGACCTTGGATGCTCCTTTATGGTACAGAAGAGGTGCCCTGTTAGTCTTGGGCTAGCAGGAGAGACACACAAACTTTGATTTTCTTTGAGCCACTATATTTTTCTTAAATTAAAGTCATTTACTCTGTACCCTTAGCTAACATAATGCCAAAAAGCTTATTATACCAGGAGAAAAGAAATCAGCATTACTAACATGCCCAAATATGTAGGTGTTGGGGGATATAATGACAAAATATTGAAATTCCTTAACTATGGTTTTCTTGAAAATGTTTGACATCCTGAAGAAAACACCCAAATCATAACTTTCCTAAGTGGAATTCATAGTAAAAACTATTTCAGCTAACTATTAAAGATTGAAAAGTAAGCTCTATTAAAAAAGGAATTTAATTTTTTTTCACTATCCTATCTCTAGAGCATAAAACAATGCCAATAGGCCTACAAGCATTTGCTTAATGTCTCAATACATTTTGCTTAATGGTTTTCCATGGTTTATGCTAATGAATGTTCAGATGCCCATACTGGGATTCAAAGAAACATACACTCTTTTTAATTTTCTTCTTTCCTTCTGCAACCACCATCCAATGGAGCATTCTAGAATGGGAGAGATCAGTTGTGTCATCCCCATATGTCCAACTGATATATAACAGACTGTTGAAATATTCCACAGAAGTGATTTCTGGAGCAACTGGGGCTATAAGATAGAAAAGAACACTTTAGTATAAGAGATTACTAATCATTAAAATGCTTATTCATACAGCATGAAATCCCATGTAATGTTAGAAAACTAAAATTCACACCATATGATGGTCCTGGGTAGACCTGGGACTCTCAGTACCACAGGTATACAATACAAGGTGGGCATTTGTTTCCTAGGACCTCACCTTACAGCTCAGATGCATGAAAGCCCCATCTGAACCTGAGGGTATCAAGGTCTTTTATGTAAACTTCAGTTACAAAATTCCTAAAATCTTCACTTGTTTCGGTATGCTTGTTGAATCAATAAATTAGTCATTAGGCTTTGGCCAACTTATTTTCAAAGAAGTACTAGAAGCTCTTTTCTATAAAAATACATCTTTTTTTTTTGTTTTTGTTGTGACACAGCCAAGGTGTTTATGGGAATAAAGGACAGTAGGAGTAGAGGGACAGAAAAGAAATATTGTTTCCATAAAACACAAGGCAGCATCATTGACAGTGTTTTAGTCCAGTGCTTTGCAGAAGGTAGGCTTTTAATAAATGCCTGTGGAAGGATTTTTATTTTATTTTATCATAATGCAAAGTTAAATTCTAACACTGACTTTATTAATGTATTTTATATTTTGATACATTTAAACTTTAAGAAAATTTCCAGTTGGGAAGAGCTCATCATAAGCTTTATAATATATGGCCCGTGAAAGCATATTTTCATTATTTTAAAAGTAAATGATAATTCTGAAGATTTGAAGAAACAAACAGTTGAATTTAAATTCCATGGGAATGGTGGTTCAGAGACAGGCAAGTTTTTTGTTCCATGATGCAGCAAAAAAACAACTAAAATATTTGGAGGAGAATTTCTACAAATCATAAAGAATTATTTTCTTTAATTTTCTATTGATACCCCATACAAACATTCATCACTAATGATACTTTGATATAATTCATTGTCTAGATTTGTGGTATATAGAGTAAAAAAACACATTTCTGTGTCATGTGAAATAACAGTAGCATCCTATATAATCAAAACCTAATATGCTAAGTGTCTGGTGGTCCGTTCTGCGAATTAAAGTGAATAAGCTAATGATATGTTAAGGCCCCTCAACCACTCACTATGACATTCGCTGACCACCAGGCAGTCAACTGATCAACCATTCACTATGATGTGCACTGACCATCAGGGGGCAGACGTTCTGACTGGTAGGTTAGCTTGCTGCTGGGGTCCAGCCTATTGGGACATGCCCTGGAGCCGTCCCACAGTTCCTCCCTAGCTGGCCAACCTCCCACATCTCTCCCTGACCCTGATCATGAATTGGTGGGGTCCCTTGGCCTGGCCTGTGCCTTCTTGCAATTTGGGCTGAGGGATTCCTCCCCCTCAACCCCTGCCCAAGTGCAGAAATTTCATGCATCGGACCTCTGGTGTCTACATATTTGACCATAAAATCTTGAAAATATCAACAATGTATCTTAGCAAATAACACAAACCCACATCATATTTCAGAATATTCTAATAAAGGATATTAACCCTGGCTTTTTTGTGGCCTCTTAATATATTCCCAATACTTCATTGTATGCAACTACCTATACTTATGTTTCTTAAAAAAAATATTTTCTTATGTTCTAATTATCATGAGGACAAAAACATACTTAAAATTTCAAACCCAGAAGCCCAGATCTCCCTTTCACAGGTACAAGGTCTTCAGATTTTTATATTCCATGTTGTTACTTTAAAATCCAGCATAGTGCTAAAGGACCACAAGATGTCACTATTTGTTTATTAAGCATTATTTGGTACACCAGCAGATAATTATGAACTTGCAGATAAACTGAGGTCCTGATAAATCACATCTTATAAAAATATTTTTTCCTGTTTCTTTTATACTGCACAATTTGGCAGTTTGGGTCACAATGGAAAAGCATGGGAAAGTGAAGTTTGTGATCCCCATTTGCTTTAAAATTAAATGAGAGAAGAAAAAAATGAGAATAAAAATAAATCAGCTACCATTATGTTTGAATAGTGATTAACATTAGATAATTTAATTCTCAACACTATTCATGGGGTATTGTTATGTCCACATCATAGATGTTGCAAATTGAGACCTGTATCAGATAAGACTATGGACCACCAATGTGAGCACAACTTAATAGTTTGTCCCAGGAAAAGACAGGAAATTACCAAAGATCAATTTCTTGAAGATTATTTAGACTGCCCACTCAGGCAAGTAGCTTATTAATTAACCATAATTACGTATCCAGACTTGTTTTGTCAACCTAATTGTTACATCATGACCTTTGCCCAATCCCAGTAGGATCCCAGTTTTGAAAGGTATGCCAGACCACTTGGGTCCAGAACTATAAATCCTATGAATGTTTCATGTCCCATGTGCCCCGCTGAGACACTGCAATGACTGCAAGGTGAGTTCCGTCTCACTGTGGAACCGAATGATCAATTGACTGGTTGCTATGATATACAATGCCCTGAGCTTGGCTCTCTTAGCCAGATGTGAGGTAATATTCTGAGTGTTACCAATGAGAAAATAGAAGTCTAGGATCATTGAGATAATTCTAAAGCCAGAAATTAGCAGAGCCAAGTCTGTTCAATCAAGTGTTCATATGGGAAGTCTGGGCTTTTTCCAGTCCTGACATAGCTATCTGAGAAGAGAAGAATATTCTCAGGGATTTAATACTAATAAAGTTATTGATACAATGAAGTTTAATTATAATTAATAAATATGTAATTGTTGATATAGTCAACAGCATAACACAAAGCTTCTTAAATAATTGGTATTTTCCCCTTTTTTTGAGCCAATGAGGGATGCTAGACATTAGCTAGTAAGGAAAAGTGATAAACCATATAAGTAAATTGTGTAAGAATTCACATAGAATTAATTTCTTACTTTTGTTTTTGAATTTATAAATTTCAATGGAACTAAGCTAGATGTCCAGCGAGGAAAACATTTTGCCAAAATTATTCTTCATCTAAAAATATTTTTATATTTTCTTTTCTTAATACAACTCTAATTACAGTCTTAGAGTTCACCCAAAAGTTCCTGAAAACCCGTAATTCAAACAACCAGGGTTAAAGTCTCTTTTATGAATTTCCCCTTTTCATCGTCACCTCTGATCACTTTTATCATCTCTGACATATGATGATAAACTACACAATTTAAGGCTCTGAGATCTAACATGAACATTTTTTTAAAGTTACTTAAACTTTGTGTCATGAATTTTTGCTAAGCAGCTTATTTAATTAAGAAATAATAATCTCTCTATATAAAAGCCTAAGCAACCGAATGATCATTTGACTGGTTGCTATAATATACACTGACCACAAGGAGGCAGATGCTGAATGCAGGAGCTGCCCCCTGGTGGACAGTGCACTCTCACAGCCAACCTCCCAAAGCCAGCCAACTTCCCATAGTCCCTCTCTCTACACTGGCTTGCCCTCCTGCCCTGTCCCCCATTTGCAGGGACACTACCTGTGCATGAATCTGTGCACTGGACCTTTAGTAGATAATAACAGAGAATAGATATTAGTATCATCCCCATTTTTCACATTAAAAAACCACCAACACTTAGAAAATTTAATTGCTCAAGGTCATATATGGCATTCAGTAGAGGTATGGTCCAAACCCAGGTCTACCTGTCTCCATGGGCTTTTAACTCCTGCAGTGGACAACACTGTAGTCAGCCTGGGCTTTGATGGTGTAATTAATAAGGACATGGAGGCCCTATAGCAAATACAGCCATCAAATGGGCCAAAGCAACTGAGTGCAGTCTGAAGCACATCTCTTTTCTGGTCAATTTCAAACAGGGGCACACCACTCAAGGGCAGTGATTCAGAATAAAAATTAATCAAAGGAAGAAACTCAGGATAAAAATAATATTTTAATTTTAAAGGCCATTATTTAAATTAATAATAATTTTCCAGTCTCAAGCGTATGATCTTCCATGGCACCGGGCTCAATCGGTCCTGAGTGAGTGACCAGCACTTTTTGGAAATGTGTCTCTTCAGAACCTTCCGCAGATAGTATTCTCTCCTCAGAAACTGTTCCCCGCACACCACTCACCTGTAACGAAGCTGATGGTGGAACTGTCACAGCAGCTCAATTCTGGGTCTCCCCATGTCACCATGGTCACTCGGAAGTTGTAGTACCACGCTGGCAACAGATTAGCTATTCTCTAAAAAACAAACAAGGAGACAAAAGACTAAGGGGCAAAATCATATATTTTTTAAATATAATTATCTCTATTTGGCCATGAAAAGAACTAATCAATAATTTTTATTTTATATTCTGTGCTTTGTCATATTCACAACATTCCCCACTAAAAGCACACACATACAACCTCTTTTAGGAATGAAGTAAGGTGTAAATAAAAGGCTATAAAAAATGTAATTTAAAAAAGTGATTCAAAGGTATAGAGTCAGATGCTTCCAATATTGGTCTCATTTTATAGTTTCCTAAGTTATATTACAGAAGTGAAATAGGACTTGTTTGCAAGTGACTATAGATACACGTCTCCCTATTTCTATGCCAAATGACCTTTCATAACTGTATGCTCCCAGGTTGAACCATAGGCATGTGCCCTTGATGGGTGACAATTATCAGAGTCATCAACTGGGTAGAGGGCATTTGTGTACTTCACGTGTAACCTGGAAGAAAACTGCACTTCTGCAATGATTTAAGGTTTAGAGAGAGCAATCTCTACCGGATCTCTAAGGGCCTGACACTATGGGTACTTAACCGTTTTGTCAATGTCAAGAATCATCATCATTACAGTTAAGCAGTGTCAACTAATTATTAAATGCTGAAAGGTGATCTCCTGTGTTTTTCTCCCCAGGAGCAGTAAGAAACAATAAGCACTTGGTAGCTCTACTAAAATATAGATTAACAAATAAACTAAGGTCGAAAGCCAGTTGCACACAATTCTTTCTCTCGCTCTCAAAACAAACAACTAAAATCAACCCTTAAAACAACCACAAAAACCTTGAGAGTAGCAATGTGTATATTTACAAAGTGGTCAAATTTGCAGATACCTTTTCCAGACATTAGGTACGTATAGGCACATCTATTTACACAGGGAAGTGTGTCAGACGGCTAAGGAAAGATTACCACTGATGCAGTTAAGGAGGCGGTCGCTGCTATTTCATAGTAGGTTGTCCACTCTGATGTCATGGTTGCGGGGTTGAAATAAAACATTTCAACTACGTATTTCCTGAACACTCCTAAGTAGGGTCTGGTCCAGCTCAAAACCACTGCTGTGGGGCCCAAGGGGTACAGCATTAAATCCTTTATTCCGGTTGGAACTAAAGAGGAAGGAGGAAGGGGGAGTGAAAAAAGAAAGCCAAGAAGGAATGTTTAATATCATAGCAATGGCTTCCAACGTCTACTTAACAACCAAGGTTTTTGCTCTTTTGATATAATAATTGAAAACATATTTGCCTCTGATTCCCAACCCCCACTCGAAATAGTAAATGCTAAAGATGCCCTCCAGCAATAGTTTATTACTCTGAAGGTAGGATATTGGGTGAACAAGAATGACCTCCCATATATGAGGATAATGAGTTGAGCTTGGACATTGCAACCCAGCAAATAACACTTAGATAATGTCATTATTCTTGTACCTGGTGACTTACCAATGGCAAATGTCACAGGATCTGAAGGTGGTCCAATCAAAGGGCCTTTTCTTAGGTACATCACAACCTGGTATTGGGCACCAGGAACCAGATTTTCAATAACAGATTTGCTTGAGTTCACCTTTGAACCAGACAGCCAATAAGATTTCATTAGAGCTGACCTTTTATAATGGGACACAGAGGCTAAAATTGTATTCAGAGACTCTCTGTGGAACCACAGAAGCCTTTGGAATCCAGAATCTTTTACTCATGCCCGGGAAGGTCAGATTTCAAAATTAGGATGATTTATAGTTTATGTGAACACTGAAGGAGGCCCAGAACATTCAGAGTCTATGGCTGGATTTAGAAAGCCCCGTGAAATGCTTTATGCCCATCAGTGTTAATTGTAACTGTGTACACGAGAGACACATAAACCTCTAACCATAATCAAATCAGCAATACCGTGAGGAGAGTCTGACATTCTAAATTGTAGTGTCACCCGATGGCATACGAAGATCAGTACAGGAATGCCTTTAGTCCCTTGTCACTGAGAAGCATATAATATCTAATTATAGAGATGGAAATGACTTCAGAAATTAGCTAGTCCAAGTCTTTTTAATATATTAGAAAAGGAAAGTGAGAGAATGCCCAAGGTCACATATTTAGATTCACTGCTGGGACTAGAAGCCTAGTGTGTGACCTCTAATCCACACTATAGGCGAGTCATGGCTGAGCATAGCGATATAACAGAAGTTCTTTTTTTATTTTATTTAAATTCTTTATTGTTGAAAGTGTTACATATGTTTCCTTTCCCCCCACTGACCTCTCCCCGCCTGCTCACCCCTCTCACCAGCACATGCCCTCACCCCCTTACTGTCTGTGTCCATTGGTTATGCTTTATACTAGTATATGCAACAAGTCCTTTGGTTGATCTCCCCACCACCACCACCTCCGCTCAACACACACACTGTGCTGCCTTCCCTTTGAGTTTTGTTGTCTGTTCAATGCTTCTATGTCTCTGTATCCATTTTTGTTCATCAGTTTACTAGAGGCCTGATGCATGAAATTCATGCACAGAGGGGGGTGAGGGGTTATCCCTCAGTCCGGCCTGTGCCCTCTCACTATTGGGACCCCTCGGATAGGATCCCTAGGCCTGGCTGGTGATCAGGGCCTACCCAGGCTTTCTTTCCCCTGGCTGCCAAAGCTAGTCCTGCCCCGGCCGCTGCCACTGCTTGCCATTGGTGTGGTGCTGCCCCTCCTCCCCTGCCACTGGTTGCCTTCCTCTGGGGGACAGGTGTGGGGTAAAATAGCTTGGCTGTCCTGGGCCTCTCTCTGCAGGGGGATCGATTGTGGGGCTCTAGGCTCTGTGATTGATCGCCCAACGGAGAGAGGCCCCACCCACCCAGTAGGGGCTCCACGATCAATCGCTGCACAGAGCCTGGGCCTCCCTCTTTGGGTGAACGATCATGGAGTTCCCCCCCTCAATTGCCCCACAAAGGGTGGCCTGGGCCTTCCTCTGCCTGGCAATCCTGGGATGATGGCAGGGCCCTCAACCAATCACATCACACCAGCTTTGGCTGGCCTGGCACCAGTGTGTGTCAGATAGATTCTGGTGAGAACACCTTCTGGATTCCTTTGGTCAGTGGTCACGTGACTGTAGGTTGGCTTTTGAGACTTTTTGAACTGACGTTTTCTGATCTGAAAAATGCATGTGTGTGTGTGAGTGTGAGTGTGTTTGTGTGTGTGTGTGTGTGTGTGTGTGTGTGTATAGTGGGATAATGAATGATGGGGTGTAACAATGACAAAATCCTCAAAACATTTTTGTAGTAATTGAAATAATACCTAGCTCAATGGTTTAGTTCCCACTCTCTATTTTAAATATTGGTCTCCTTGCCTATAATCTTTAATAGTTTCATATTTGCACTTCACAAAGGAGCTATCAAAGTGCACTTAGACCAGCCCTTTCTGGATCATTTATAATGTATACTATCTATCTATACCTTTAGCCTTCTGATTTAATGTAAAAAATAGATAATTTGCACATTAGTTGGGGCAAGGAAGAATGTACCTTGGAGCAGTCAAGTTCTAGGTCACGTTCTGTAAGAGAAAAACATTTTTCTATCAATGCCCAGAGCCAATCAACTTTGGTGTGCCCAGGGAAGGAAGCTTATAAGCTGCGCAGTGAGCGATGATGAACAGTTAATTGGTTCAGCATATTTACTCCTTAATTTAATTCAAGTCAAGAGGTAGCCTCAGCTTTCAGTGTGTGCTTATCTCAGCACGCTAAGGCTTTCTAGTGCTCCAAAGACTACAATACATAAGATCCCGAATTCACCTTATCAATTAAAAAATTCTCCCTTTGAATTTCACTAATGCTTGACTTTTGTAGCATAAATGGAAGCATCCCAAAATAGCTTTCATGTAGCAGGCATCTTCTCTGAGTATTATATTTCCAGTGTACTCCACTTGAATTTATACTTTTTTTTTTTTTTTTGCCTTTAGGGAGGTAAGTATTGTGTTTGTAAGATACCAAGAAATGGTAAATTTGATCTAATGAAATAATAAAATGGAATAAGTAATAAAATGTAGTACTAAGACCAGGTGTTAGGAAAATGCTATGGGGCTCCAGCTCCTCGTTGGTATTCAGGACATCGGAGAACAAGGCCTGCTCTGGGCCACTCTGCTTGGCTTCCTCAGGACTGCTGACAGATGTGTGTATACAGCTGGTAGCTGCTCCCAGGACTGGTCATCTGCTCACGGTCTCCACCTGCCCTCCCTTGTGCTCAGCTAATACCTAACACCCTACAAAACTCTTCTCAGTGGTGATTATGGAGGATTTTTTTTTATTTTATAGCCCTTGAATTTTTGAATTGTTTTTCAGTGAACATGCATTACTTTTATAGTTAAAATAATAAGGAAAAAGAGAGAGAGAGAGAAAGTAAAAGAAACAAAAAGTGCCCCAAACTTTCTCTCTGGTTATCCACCAGTTTCCAATTCCTCTCTCCTAAATCCCTATTTACTCAGCCCCATTTCTGCAAATAGCTTCCTGGTGATTTTCAGCTTAGGCCTTGTTTTAAAATCTGCAGTAATTATATGCTCAGTTATCCATTGTTCTTCTAGATTATAAGCTCTGCAAGATCAGGGCAAATAAAAATATCTAGATCCCCAATATCTATCCTAGTCCCTGGAACATCGCAGGTGCTCAGTAAATTCTCCTGCGTGAGGAATGAAAGAGAAAGGAGACGACCACCCTAAGAGGGAAAAAGAAGATGACTGTGACCCAAAAGCCATGCACACTCTTCCCTGCTCCTGTCCGGGCTCACGGAGCCCCAGAGACCTGGGCCCAACTGCTCTGTGGCCTCCCGCATCGCCTGCCAGGCTGTGCTGCAGCAGGTGAATGAACCACAGGCAGTCTCTTCCTTTACCTGCGAGCAGTACTGCTTTTCCAGCCTCTGGCTCTCCTTTTGTTTCTGGCAGGTGAGGGACACCACAGACACAATGGTGCCGTTGTAGTTCTCTTGAGAGGACGTCCAGGACATCAAGGCGGTGGTTGAGCTTAGAACATGGACACTCACATGTTGGGGCTTCTCGGTGAGTTCCTCAATCCACTCTCCTGAAGGACCTGGCGGTTTCAAAGGAGAGCACAAGGCACGTGTCACCCTGAGATGGTTGAGACAACAAGCAAGTTTTAAAAATCATGTTGTTTCCCCTTTGCCCTAAAAGAGCTATTCCAAGTAAGATTGGCCGCCTGGCTGAGCATTGACCTATGAATCAGGAGGTCATAGTTGGATTCCCGCTCAAGGTTGTGGGCTTGATCCCAGAGTGGGGCATGCAGGAAGCAGCCAATCAATGTTTCTCTTTCATCATTGATGGTTTTTCTCTCTCTCTCCCTCTATCTCCCTCTATGAAATCAATAAAAAATATTTTTAAAACACATATTAAAAAAAAAAAGATTGGCAGCCTGACTGGTCTTGACATCGTCTGCTCAGCCACTGCCCAGCATTGTATCCCTCATCATTGACCTAAACAGCAGCCGCAGCAGCAAAAACAGCCCTAGTGAGAGATAGAAGCTTCATTTCCATTATGTGCATCTGAGTTAATTCTGGAAAGTTCTTCACTGGAGCGAATTTCTCTTTTAACAAAGAATGGATGTGGCAGTGTGACATGTCATCAGTGTTGATAATTCCTTTGTTGCTAGGATCTTTGGTCTCTAGAAGTAATTACTTTGAGATTCAGACTTGCTTCTACTATAGGTTTGTAAAAAAATAAAAATCCAAATTTGGTAACAGTAGGATAGAAGAGAGGTGTGATTGTATTAGAGAAGAAATGGGCAGCAGGCTGGCTCAATTATAGAAGCTGGCTAAAACCTGTGGATAATTTGTGGACATGGTGGATTCCTCATGATAGAATATCTCCATAGAATTTCCCCCTTAGTTTTGTTCTCTCGAGTTTCTAAAGGGGTGATTAGTACTGTGCCTGACTCATAGGAAGGACTCCAGAATTATTTAGGTGATTATTACCTACAGAAATTCCCTGTTGCAATTCCAATATGCAAACTTTCTTTTATTTGCTTAGGAAATATTTCCCCATTTCTTAATTGAAGCTGTCTTCCTAGGTTGGGACCCCAGACAGGAAAGGGAGCAAGTGGGACGCTAGTCGCAGATTCACCATAACTGGGGCAGGGGAAATAATGATCGTGGCAAAGAGATATAGCCTAAGAGACTCTATTTTGAGTCAATATGTGTTTATAAATTTATTCCCTTAATTTCCATAGCAAACCTGTGAGACAAGTACGAGTATTAATCTCAGTTTTAGACGAAGTAACTAAGGCAGATGGAGGGTAAATGAGCTGGCATTCACACACAGGAAGTCTGGTTCTAAACCCCATGCAGTGGCACTATAAATATTTATTGACTGTATAATAGAATTAATAAATAGGCAAATAGTATAATCCCAGGCTAGGATTTGATAGTTTGGTACCAGAAGCAAGATGTATACACAAATAAAATACATCTATTGTAGAAAAATACCACACTCGTGTTGTGTGCTATGAAACAGTAGAAACTCAGGGAAGGGAAGAGCCAGCATGGCCAGAATAGTTGAGGGAGTTTTCTGGAAGCTGTTCACACGTGCAGGGGACTCTATGAGCAGATGAGGAAATGTTTGGGTTAGTGGAACATTGTTAGCCTCATGGGAAGAACTGAATAGTAAACCTTGTTTGCATTCTCAAGGGATCTCACGGCAAAGATCTCTCATTGTGAGAAGCCGTGGAAGGCAGCTGTGACTATTCTTTCTGCGTGCCTTATGGATCTTTCAGGCCTCCACCAGGGGCGACATTTTTGGTTTCTTAAGTAAAAGTTTAAATGGGACATTGTCAATATGTATAAGCTACTAAATAAACTGATTTCTTCCCTCTGCCTTCCTCCTGTCTCCCCTGCCCTCCCCACCCCTCCGCACCCTTGAGGATTATTTGGTGAAGGTGGTATTTTGCCTTTGCAGATGGTGATAAAGTTATATGGTGGTCATTCTTTTTGGAGAGCAATGTTTGCCCATTCCCTTCTCTGCTGATAAGAGGCACATTAACATCCCAATGAGCTACAAATTGATTTTTAGCCTCTAAATTTCTGGTAACCAGAGTCAGATTACATTAAAATGTTACAAACATGCACCATTTGTGCAACTTTTATTTTTTATTTACTTTTAAAAATAGATTTTTTATTGATTTCAGAGAGGAAGGGAGAGGGAGAGAGAGATAGAAACTTCAATAATGAGAGAGAATCTTTGATCAGCTGCCTCCTGCACACCCCCTACTGGGTACCAAGCCTGCAAAACGGGCATGTGCTCTTGATCAGAATAGAACCTGGGACCCTTCAATTTCTGACATTATCCACTGAGCCAACCCATCTAGGGCTTTGTGCAGTTTCTAGAGGCTACTTATTGCTCTGCTATTACTTTTTTCTCTAATCCTTTCCTGAGGATATTGTTCCCCATTGATTTTTAGAGAGAGTGGAAGGAATAATGAAAGAAAGGATAGCGAGAGAAAGAGAAACAAAAGAGAAACAGAAGAGAGACAGAGAGAGGGATGAGAGAGACACATTGATTGGTTACCTCCCAGAGCCGGGAATTGAACCTGCAGCCAAGGTATGTGCCTTTGACCAGATGTTGAACCCTAGACCCTTTGATTCATGGGCCAATACTCTAACTACTGAGAAAAAAAAAAAAATGGGCCAGTGCTTTGCTATTACTTTTTACAGAATCAGTAGAAGCCATCCTGAGACTTGACACTGGGCCTTTTAGGATGCTCTAGCTTTGTCTTCTTGTGCCAAGTTTATGGTGACCACATAGGTCTCCCTAAACTTCCACCTTGATCTTTTTTTTTGCTCTCTATAAACTCAACATTCTAATGATACTTTTCACACAGTCCAACAATATCAATTGTCATTACAACCTTAAACAAAAGTCCTATTTCCCAAACTGTGTGTTCATGTCCTTTGAGGGTTTGTTGTGCCTAGTGTGAAAGATCAGCTTAATAAATGTGCAATTAGGCCTGGCTGGTCTGATTCAGTAGACAGAGCATCAGCCTATAGACTGAAGGGTCCCAGGTTCTATTCTAGTCAAGGGCAAATGCCCCAGTTGCCAGCTCAATCCCCAGTACAGGGTATTCAGGAGGCAGCCAATCAATGATTCTCTCTCATCATTTATCTTTCCATCTCTTTCTCCCTCTCCCTGCCTCTCTCTGAAATTAATAAAAATGTATTTAAAAATAAATGTGCAATTATCACAATAATAAAAAAAGTCCTAAATTAAATCTGTAGGTTTGCGACTATTAAACATACATATATTTCCTCTGTTCTCACCACTTCCTGGATTTGGGACTCTCTTGACCTTGAAGAATTCTCAGGGTATCCAAGGTGTGATGAATAATTGATGCCTGAGCATTATTAATCTCAACAGTTCCATTGTTCTAAGCGCAAAACCCTTTCTTTGGTACTTACTGATATAAAAACTGAGTGATTTTGCTGACTGACTTTTTCGAGTTTCACAAGATCCTGAGGAACTAAAGGTTGTCACAGATAACTTATACTTCCCAGGCTCCTTCAGTTCTGTAACAAATTCCTGTGCTTCTTCAGCCACTGTCAAATGTTCAGTAAAGTTTTCTAAATCGTACATAAAAAGAGAAAATATATAAATGGATAACTGCAAAGGCCTTGACTACAGACAAGTTAATTCATTAAAAATGCATTTTTTATATTGTCTTCTTTCTTTTGTCAAATTCAATTATACTTCTAAGTTAAAGGTACAATAATTAAAAGATGACAAAGGGTTCAAATTGATTTTCACAATAGTTTTAAATAACCAAATGACAATATGGTGTCCAACTCAATAAAACGAGGGTCAGTATATACAATGTATTTTTAAGTATGGGTTCCCAACAAAACTACATTCGCAAAATAGAAATAGAATGTTAGAAGATAGCAATAATTAGCGTTGTCATCCATATATAAGGGCTAAAAAGTAAACAGCAACACATATACTGTAAGTTCCTTGTGGTAGCATTAAATATCCAGAAATGCCTTATAATATATATAATAAAAATTATTTCTAGTTAGAAATGACTCCTGTGGATATATTTTCTGAGACTTGTAATATTTTTCTTTTATCTGTTTGTTTCTAGAACTTTTAAAAATAAAAAATAATTTTTATATTGCTTTAAAGTCCGTCTCCTGCTGCTTATTACTTTCTTTGAAGTTACCATCAGTTGGTGATTTTAATAGCCTTCCATGGAACACAGTGTGGTCAGATAATAGCACATTTACAGAAATAGGTATTAAAAAAGAATTCTGAGTAATAAGACCCTATTTTCCATAGGATATACTGAGGAACAGACAAATAAAAGCCAGAATAAGGAAACTCAAAAAACAATAACAAAAAACAAGTGATTCCAGGCAACTGTTACAACTTTTGACTCAGATAATTGGAAATGACTTTGGATTTTAGTTTTATACGGTAACTGGGTATGGTTTACTGCTCTATCATCTAGTCTAGAGGAATCCACAGAATTTGAATCTCATTCTACTGAATGAAATGGGGGGGATGTCTTATATAAAATGACATAGTCTTAATGCCCTAATCTGAAACTACAATTGTCATTGTAACTTCAACTTTTGACAATGTGGCAACCTTTACAGCCCATACTATGAAACTGGAAAGCATACAATGAAGTATGTTATTGTACAAATGAGACAAACAATGAATAAGTAGAATAAGCTACCAAACAACAGTTTAAATATTGTGACTCAAATTTACTGAATGCCATGGCATTGCTTTTTATAAATGGGCTAAAATATAAAGAATGACTCTCAGATGCTGGATAAGGAAATACAATCAGTAGTATGTTAGCTATAGTGAAAATACCAATTGCTATGCATTTCTTGTTTTACTACCAACTTCTCTTTGGAAAAATATGAGTGGTATTGCCACCAGAGAAGCACACACAAGGGAAATAAGAATAGCCAGAGGAGCCAATACAGGCTTGAAACTCTTAGGAAAGTAGCTATTTTGCCAGAAAGATTCTTTTGCTGCATGCTTCAAAAAATTAATGAAAACAGAAAATTTCTCCAGACTATTTTATAACTCGTGATGATGGTTAGACCTTTAGTTCAAAGTCTTTCCAATATAAGATTTCCTTCAGCAACCTGGGCCTGGGAAATGACAAGCAGGTATAGAGTGGCCAGAACTTGAAACTTAGGAACTAACCAAACCTGTGGATCCTCATCCGATGTGCTCATTTTGTTTCCTAGTCTCAGCTCACACTGGATGCTTAATTACATTCCTGCCTTTCTTTATCATTTCTCTTTCGCTATTAACTGTCTCCCATCGGATTTTCTTCCTGGACTTAAATTTGAGAATGTTTCCATTTCCTTCACTTTGATTGTATCCCTTCTTATTCCTTCTGATTGCCCAGTGCTTTACCTTCTCTTTCTATGTGGATATGGAACCCGTCAAAGGCAGTGGGTGGCTTTGGTGGCAACCAGCTCAGTATCATCTGCATCGGGAACGATGAGGAGGAGCCTGACGTTGGCTTCTCGGTCTCGCTGAGTGTGACATTTTCGTATCCCAAGGGAAGCACCCTGGCAAAGCCGTCCTCGCCTTCCGGAGTGGCAGACACACTGTCCCACCAGTATGGCTGGGGGGTAGTTTCATAGTCACTGCTGTTAACATCAGGCCAACCAGAAGAAAAGTTGCCAGAGGGGGTGTCAGGAGTTTCATCTGTAAAACCGAGGAGTTTGTCTCTTCCCGTTGTGTCTTGTGGCCTCAGGAAGGAGTCCTCTGGGAAACTGCCACTCTCTTCCTCCCAATTGTTTTTGTTTAAGTTTATGATACGAACTGAGATGTTTCGAGGTGGATAAGGGGCTGTAAGAGAAAGATACATTTAAAAAAAATTTTTTCAAGAAATTTTTAAACTCTATTATAGTGAATGCATAATCTATCAAGTAGAAAGATTTACAAAATAGAGTTCAGTTTAACTACTATATTTCTATGTTCTCATTTATATCAAGAACAATTGTGGTTACCAGTACACATACCTCTAAGATTTTGTGAGTGATAGGCTGACATTTGTATACCACTAGTCACAAGCTAGCCTACCACTGGTTACTTTAACTTGTGATATATCATGCTTGTCCAAGTGATAATTTATGACTTTATACCTCACTTCTCTAAAATGAAAAAAATAGGAGCATAAAATGTGTTTATGAATTATGGAAGCATACTTTTCTAGAAATAGAAAATCATAGAGACACATTGCATGGTCTTTGCCTGCAATAGTTTCTACCTATTTTTCAAATAGCAGCTGAAATATCACCTCTTCCATGAAAGTCTAATGAAAGTTAATATTGCCCTCCTTTGGTTTGTTATATAACTTTATATCTTTTTTTTATAACATCCATTGCATACTGTCTTATAGAACACCTACAGAACATCTACCATTTTTGAGGACAGGGAACCTTTCTCACCAGTCTCTGTCTTCCTCTCAGCACTTAGAACAACTCTCAGATAAAGGATCTCAATTAATGTTTCTTTACTTGAATTGAATAATTAAAAATATTTACAAATAAAATATCTTAGATATTGACATGAGTTAAATTACATAGTTTCCTTGTCTTGGCCTAATTAATGAGAATCATGACAACTTACAATTTTGGATAGGAAGGGTCTCAGGGATGATCTCATATAAGCCATTCTCAGTGTTCATATGAATGGACTCTCCAGCATTCCTACTGAGTACTTAGGCACAGACAATTACATTGTCTAATTATATTTAGACACTTACGTTAATATTGGTAATGGATATTTAGTAGGTGCATATTTGTTTTAACCATCTATTCTTTCACCCATCCATCCATCCATTTCTCCATCCATCCATTTACCCATCCATCCATCATCAATGCATCCATCCCATATTAGTGTTGAATATTAGTTACAGTACTAAAATTAAACACTGTAAGTTTTAGATACATCTGAATTCCAATATTCTCCTTCAATGATCTAAATATCTGTACTCAAAAATCTTCCATCTGTTTTTCTGCTATATGTGCATATAGAATAAGTGATGTCTACTTGATCCAGTAAGTTATTTAATTCTAACTTTTTTGTATCATGTATTTTTTAATTTAAAGATTATACACCTATGATTACATTGACATAGTTTAGAGTTTCCTTATTGAATGTTTTGCTAGTTTCCTTTTACACTGATAGAAAATTTGTTTTAGATTATTTAAATACTTAAAAAAGTTATTTATTTTTAAAATACATTTTTATTGATTTCAGAAAGAGGAAGGGAGAGATAGAAATATTAATGATGAGAGAGAATTATTGATTGGCTGCCTCCAGCACACCCCCTACTAGGAACTGAAGCCACAACCCTGTATGTTCCCTTGACCGGAATTGAACCTGGGACCCTTTTTTTCTGGAGGCTAATGTTCTATCTACTGAGCCAAATCAGCTAGTGCTGTTTTAGATTATTAAAAATATATATATTTATTTTCTTTCTTAGCTCTGGTATAGAATTTTTCTTAGAATGATAAAAAGTACACATACAAAATATAATATCAATATAATTGCATTTTTTTCAGTAAATATAAATTTTCAGAACTTACCAGTTCTATGCTGTTTGGGTTCATGACTAACACCACTGTACTCCACGAGAGTACTTTTGTTAAAAGTTGCTTCAGATACCAGCTGAAAGGTGATATTACTATAACATATTCCTGGTAGCCAATGATTAAATACTGTTTTTCCCTTAAAAAAATCTGGAAAAAGAAAGAAATCAATTATACTAAAATATTGGGCTTCTAAATGACACACTTTTAGGAAGTTCTAATCAAAATAATAAAATATCAATAAATGATATTTCTTTCAACTTCTAGCATGGAAAGTAATAACAATTTAGCATAAGGTTAGAGATAAAAATCTGAATTTTTAGAGTCAGTCCTGAAAAGATTTTTGTGCAAGAATTAGATATAACTAAAGCTGAATTTTGATCCCAGGAACACTTGGTGTATCAAGTAGAGAACATGTATAGAAGTTGTGGAGATTAGGTGTATATTAACTATTTACTTTGAGATGAAAACTAAAGGTATTTTGCCACTTTATGACTTAGAAAAAAGTAATTTTGCAAGAGATGTTTTCTCTAGGCTCACTTGTAAAAACTAGTGAATTTTAAAAGTAGAATGGTTTTATCTGACAGTTACAGACAGATCCTGCTCAAAAAAGGAAAAAAATTAAGAATTTGGATTTAATTTAGGAGATAAAATTAAAGAAAATAACAAATTTAGAAATCCAGTCTAAGTTAGAAAGAAATGAGAGAAAGAAATTAAAAACACCACTAATGAAATTAAAAGCCAAAAATAATTTTAATGTTAATTGAAAAAAGAGACCATATTCACTTATTTTAAAACTCATAGCTTTTAACTCAGCAAAAGTTACAGTGACTGCTTTTCAACCACTCATGAGCTTGTACTCGCGATGTAATAATAAACAAATAAGGCCCCACTTATTAATTTGCATATCATCTGTTTTCATTGAAAACAAAGAATGCAATAACTTGTGGAATCTATGTTTATGCTTATTTAAATATTTTAAAGTTTTAAAAAACTGAAAAATGCACTGTGTGTCTTCTAAACAGTGCCTCATTTAAAAAAAATAAGAATTGTATGGAAGAAAGGAATTTGTAGAAGCAGCAAGTTAAAATGATATCTTTCTGGACACCATGATCTATGTGCTGCAATATGCATTCCCACCTCACCAATACATGTTTCCAGTTACAGCCAGTCAACTTTGACATCATCGTTTAAGCCCTGGCAGAGAATTGTAGTTGTTACAGTCTTGCATCCTGTATATATATATAATAAGAGCCCAGTGAATAAAATTCGTGCACATTAAAAGAAAATTAGAGGAAATATTTTAATATTGCTATTTGCCCTTTCTCTATAAATAGAAGTATCAGAGATGAAAGAAAGTTAGTAAAATGTATATGAATATCTTCCTCCTGTCAGAGTCTGGGACATGCCTCAGGACCCAGAGTCAAGATCCCATCCACGGGCATGTACCTTGAAATTGTGTGAGACCCATACCTGGCTGGCCCCACCGCCATTGGGTGAGATCCAGACCCTGCTGGCCTCACCTTAGTCAAACCTTGCCAGGTGGGGGTCACAGCCTCAGGGCCCCCATCAAGCCCTGCCAGGTGGGGGGGGGCACAGCCTCAGGTCCCCCAGTCCAGGGCAGAGGTGGAGGGTACGGCCTGAGGTCCCCTGTCAAGCCCAGCCAGGCTGGGAGCCTGAGGTTCCCCATCAAGCCCTGCTGATGGGGAGGGGGTGAGGGGGAGAACAGTCTCAGGTCTCTGCTGATCGCTAGTTCCAGGAATCCCACTTCTGCTATTGATGCAGCCATCTTGTGATGGCTTTTTACCTCTTTATATATATATTCAGGACACAAGACTCACCCGAGGATATTTTTCCATTGATTTTTTTTTTTAAGAGAGAGTGGGAGAAAGAGAGAAATATCGATGTGAAAGAAACACATCAATTGGTTGCCTCCTGCACAAGCCCAGACCAGGGCTCTGGCTGGGGAGGAACCTGCAACCAAGGTACATGAACCTAGGACCCTTTGGTGTGCAAGCTGACTGTCCACTGTGCAAGCTGACTGTCCACTGAGCTAAACTGAATATTTAAGTTCATCCACTTTGATTCACCTCCAGTGAAGCTGAATAGGGCGCTCTCTCTCTCTCTCTCTCTCTCTCTCTCTCTCTCTCTCTCTCTCTCTCTCTCTCTCTCTCTCTCTCTCTCTCTTCCTCTCCATCCTTTCCCCCACCTCCTAGCCACCAAAGTCTACGGAGAATTTGGCTTGGTTCCTTTGAAATTATTAATTCCTCTGGGCTCTCTGTTTTCTCTCCTTTCCCCACAGGAAATAAATTCATGTTAACTTTGGCAAGAATAAAATGTTATCTTGGCAAGAATAACATATAAGTGACAATAATTTGAGTATTTCTTATGCTTATGCATGAAACATGACTTTAATGGACCAGATATTCTAAATCTCCTCATCCCAAGACTGTCATGAATCAATAACTACTTTAATGATTTAGTTATGATCAAATAGTGAACTATAAAATATATTTCAATATTTAGAGCAAGAATGAAGACCATTTGGCAAAAATCATGTAAAAAGTAATAATCAATCATCATTTATTCATTCTTCCTTTTGCCTCTTACCTTTATATAACATTGTCCGGAAGTCTTTACCTTCCCAATAGCTTATATTTACTCTTGTGAAGACATTATATTTTTCTGGATAATGAATTTCAAACAGGACTCCTGTTTCAGGTGAAGGTTTATAGTCATATATTGAAACACTAGTTACAGGGAGAGGTTCTGCAGAAAAAGAGTAAATGAAGAAAAGGGAAATGGGGCAAAAGGGAGAAAGGCCATTATCCATACTTGGGAGTACCAAGGAGTATGCCTACCAAAACTTTAAATACATTTTTATCACCTGTGAGCACAAAATTCCTCAGTCCACATGAGGTGAGTGTTCTCCTTAGCAGTAATTAATAAAGTTCATCTTATAGTGTTTCCTGCCTTTCAAATAACTTTTTTCATTTGCCTGAATCTAAGAAGAACAAACAAAACATAAAAATAATAACTCATAACCTTCAATTTACTTGTCAAAGAAAATTTAACAAGTGTGTGGCAGAATCTATACTTCCGGATTCCTAGTTCATTTTTCTTTACTTGAAGTCAATAAAATTTGATACTAGTAACAGAGCAGTAATAGAAAATACATTTGACTCTGACCAAGGTTAAATGCTTACATGATCATTTATTTCTTTGTGTAAACTTAGCACTTCTCTTTCTAAGTTGAGTATAAGATTGAAAATCATTCTATGTTATGATAATTAGAGTTGAAGGTGTCTATCAAACTACTCTTTCTATAAAAGTTTTAAGTATGTTTATTCTTATTTTGTTCAAGTTTTTAATCCATCACAAAACTTTTTAAATGCTTATTTTTTAAAACACTGTGGTTGGTATATGTCTATATTTCCTCTGCATCCCACCCTTCAGCAAAAGTCTTATAAAATGATACAGTTCTTCCATGCATCTAAGGAACTATTGGATGATTTTTAATTGAATAAAATTTATTCAAGAAAATTTAAAAAATAACTTGGTTTGTAGTCAACTATTGCATTATAGAGAAGAAAACCACTGGTTCAAAGTTTTAAAAATAGAGAGGAATTTTAGACATAACCTACAAACTAAAGGAAAGCAACAGCCTTAATTTAAATTTTACATTTTAAAAATTTCAGGTTAATTAACATAGGAAACCAAATAAGACTTAGTTCATTTGATAAATAATTTATAGAGTTCCCACTTTGTCTCAGAGTGTAGCTAAATAACTTTCCTTTGGTTCCTCAGGATCTTAACCTGCTTTTGCTTTGCTTTTGCTTGAAGAGAGTCAGAAAGGACTGAAATCACATGTTAAAGGTATGATTTTCCCTGGAATTTTCTTAAAAAACAAGCCAACATCTATAAACACGTGAAGAGGTCCTTAGACTACAGCATGTATTGTGCTCATTTCAATGTAGACGATGAGCTATATTCTCTGTTAAAATGTTTCTATTTTATCTTTGCCTCCATCCCTGATCTTCCTACTAAAGGCAGCAGTTACTTCTATGTCATGTAAACAAACAAAAACAACCTCCCCCCTGAATACTATTTCTTGTTGATTAATCCCAAAGAAGTATTGAGCCATCTGAAGGTGTTTCTTTCAATCCAGTCTTATTACTAACCAAGCCCAGCTATTGGCTCTGGATCTGAGAGAAACAAAATGAAAGCTGTCAGCAGAAAGCCGCCCCAGAGCAGTAATTCTTCTATTGCTGCAGTCCCATTTCACATCCTCATTGGGCGTCTGTCCACTGAGCAGAGATGGGGGTCCACTCAGTCTTTCCGGGCCTGAGATATGAAGTCTGCACATCAAAGCACACGCTAACTTTGAAATTCAAGGTGCACATGAGGATTAGAGCACAGCTATTTTATTTTGTGATTTGTTTGGCTGCAAGCCACTTGAATTATAAACTAAGAGAATTTTTTTAAATGCCCACGTACATGTTTGCTTCTTATATATCTTTTTCCTTTATTAAATATATTATATTGATTGTTTTTTTCAGAGAGGGATAGAGAGTTAGAAACACTGATGAGAGAGAAACATCGACCAGCTGCCTCCTGCACATCTCACACTGGGGATGTGCCTGCAACCAAGATACATGCCCTTGATCGGAATCGAACCTGGGACCCTTGAGTCTGCACGCCAAAGCTCTATACACTGAGCCAAACCAGTTAGGGCTATATTTTTCCTCAGCTTCAGCATAAGTGACTCAGGTCAGCTGTCTATCTGAAGTCCACGCCCAGGCATTACTGACCCATATTCAATCCAAGAATTACTGCTTTCAATGGAACTCAAATGCTTTCTTTAAAATATTTTACTATCTCTCATTATTATTAGTATTATTGTTGTTACTAGAGGCCCAGTGCACCAAATTTGTGCATGGGTAGGGTCCCTAGCAGCTGCTGGCTGCTGGCCAGGGCCTCCCTTCCCCTGGCTGCCTGCTGTGGCTTCTGACCAGGGCCATCTGGGGAGAGAGGCTATGGGTGGTTGGCCAGCCTGCCCTGGTTGAACTCCTGGTTAAATTCCTGGTTGAGGGGACAATTTGCATATTAGGCTTTTACTAAATAGGATTATTAAAAAGTAATGATATGCCATAAATCAATGCTGCTATTGTGATTTTTCAGTGATGACAAGATTAAATCTTGATTTAATTCATTACTCCTTTCTCTGTAGCCACCCTATTACACTCTCATTTCTTGTCTTAGAATCTAGGCTGGACTGGACAGAGAAATTAAGTTTTTAGCCAATATAAAGCATTTTTAACATTTATTTGGTCATAGATTGAGGTCTAACCTCTTTGGCAAATTTTTCTAGCCACCCTTCCTGTTATCAAGCATTTTTTTCTCCTTTAATATATTTTATTGATTTTTTTACAGAGAGGAAGAGAGAGGGATAGAAAGTTAGAAACATCAATGAGAGAGAATCATCGACCAGCTGCCTCTTGCACACACCCTACTGGGGATGTGCTCACAACCAAGGTACATGCCCTTGAAGGAATTGAACCTGGGACCTTTCAGTCCACAGGCCAATACTCTATCCACTGAGCCAAACCGGTTTCGGCAAGCTTTTGATTCTAACTCCTTGCAGTTCACAGGTGTATGATGCTATGCATGCTTCCACTCTACATCTAATTCCCGTTGACTCTGTAACACTTTACATTCTCTGTTAATTTGGAAAATTTTCATTACTTTTTCAATGATTGTATGTTTCTGTGGTATCTCCCCAAGGTTCTTTAGAAAGTCTAGGTGGGCTTACATCATTCACAGATAGCATTTATCATATTTTGTAATGGCTTGTTTATTTGTTTTTTCCACTTTAGTAAAGCACCTTTGAGTGTGGGTATTTTTATTGATTTTTATTTCTCTGGCACCTAGGACATGGCATCGAGAGTATAGCAATAAATAAGGTGGAAACTCATGAATTTATAGTAGATGGATTTGTGTAGAATTTCCTATTTGTAGAGTGTTTGTATGTGTGTTCTGCAGTATTTGCAACCACTATCTTTAGGACTACTAGCTGAGGAGATATTTCCCCAGTCTCTGAACAATTGTTTTTACGTATCATTTGATCTATTGAGAAACGGATTCTTCTCTCTAAAGTGGGCACAACATACTGAAAGTTCTCAACCAGTTAAATATTAATCAGATGTCAGAGCCTAAGGGTTGTGAGACTCTTTTGAACTGGCCTAACAATGTGTTTGTGCTAAATTTATTCTTTGCCATGTTTCTCAGCTTTCTTAGAAAGTGCCAGACTCAGAACAACTACAGAGAAATATCAAAGGACTGCCCCAGGGCCAACTGCTTGGTCATTGCTTATTTTGTCAAGACAGTAAATGACTACAACAAAAGGTCCCGTTTTATTCTCAAGAGCAACGCATCAACTCTATGAGTAGATGCTACAAATGTTTCCTAAACTTTTAAGGAAAGCTTCTCATTAGAAAAAATAAAGATGGCAAAATTACATCACCAACTAACAAATAATGATCATTTTAGAGCTCAAAAGTAATCTCAGTCAACATGTATTTGAATTCCCTCTTTTTTTTTTTTTTTTTTGAGGAGAAAGCTGAACCCCAAATCTTACTTCATGTCTAATGTCATAGAAATATTTGTGCATCAATACATAGTTTTTATATTCCCAACCTATGATCCCTTTTGAAATCTGAGATGATGTAATTGAGCCTTTAAGAATGGGACAGAAAAGGAGAGACGGAAACCATATTCAGTTTTACTCTTTAGAAATCAATACCAGTTTCCTCTTCCGCTTAGGATGTAGAAAACTGCAAGTCAATCTCATTTCTCAACATCCAACAACAAGAAGAAAAAGCAAAATAATTCATGAGATCATAACTTTTTAGGCATCTCTCAGAGAGGTAAGATTGCAAGGCAACCAAACAAAGTAAACTGCAGAACCCTCCGAGGACTGAAAGGACACTAGGTTTTACCTAGCTGAGCATGACAGGAGGAGTTCAAGCAGAAAAGAAGAAAGTAACTAAGATTTCAATGAATTCATAAGGATGAGTATATTCTCCATGACAGTGTAGAATTGCTCCATCCAGGAAGTTAGTTACTAGCTCTTTAGGGCTATTTAAATTATACTTATGAAAGAATCCACCAAGATGAAATGAAATTAAGAATTAGTGGTAACTATACTGGATAATGCAGATATAGAACATTCCCATCACCCCAAAGTTCTAGGACAGCGCTGGTTTAGAATGACAGGGAGTCCCAGACACAAGTTGAGTCCATGGTCTCTCTCCAGCTCTGCTCTCATGGGGGCCTATATCAGGTGCTCATGAAGAATATTGAGGGCAAGAGAACCACCCTCTGGGGTACAGGCATGTAGATGATGATTGGGCTACTAAAAGATATGGGGAAAACCCTTTCTTCATCCCCAGGACCTTTCTTGAATACAAAACAGAAGCCTTATGGCATTAGGGAGGGGCAGAGAGATCTTTCCCTCCCAGTTTTCAGGCAATGATACCCCAATTTAAAAGATACCATTTCCCAGGAGAGGGGCAGAAACTCTCTTGGACTCTTTGTTCATGATTGATACAGAGTAGGGTTCTGCTACTACCTGGGAGAGGAAGGAAGCTCTCTAACTTAAGACCTTCCCCAGCTTTAAGGTAGACTTGGTGGTAAAAAGTAGGGATGCTCAGAATGCCGTAGGGTCATAGGATCTGCTTAAGCCTGAGGCTGGATCAGAGAACAAATCCTCCCCTGCTCCCACCAAAATCTTAGCCCTAGTAAGAAGCCATCCATTGTTAGGGGAGGGGCAAAATCATGGACCCCTTCTGTGGTGCAGGTTGGTGGGGCTCACTGAACCCCAAGTCTACAACTGGAGACTGAGAAATCCCCAGGACCACTACTGGCACTCCCTCTGGAGGACTTTGAAATCCATGAACTAATGGCGATTAATGCCTTTAACCCTATTCAACTAATGACTGAGTTGACTCACCTCCACACTAACAGCTTGGCAATGCGGTGGGGTTAAACTTAACATTGTAAATACATTAAGCGTAAATGCTCTAAACTTGTATTATCAAAATTGGTAATTGTTACCTATTAGGTCTAGTAATAATTAATGTCGTTTCTAATACTTTTTTAAATCGAATTTATTTAAACAATACAACAAAATTTAATCAACAATATAGTTGCCATTGTTTTCTACTACTTGTGCCCAACACTCAGGAACATTTTAATCCCTCTGTTGTAAAATTCTTGTGATTTTGATGCAAAAAATTCAGTCAATGCATTTTTGAGGCATTCTTCATTATTAAATTTTTTTCCAAGAAAAAAGTTTTGCAAAGAACGAAACAAATGGTAATCGGAAGGGGCAATATCAGGAGAATATGCAGGTTGAGGGAGAACTTCCCATTCCAACTGGCGCAGTTTTTCAGCAGTGATTCTTGCAGTATGCGGTCGTGCGTTATCGTGGTGAAGAATTACGCCCTTCCAATTAATCAGCGTGGGTTCTTTTTCTCTTAAAGCTTGGGCTAACCTTTCCAATTGGGCACTATACACTGCACTTGTAATGGTTTGGTTAGATGGTAAAAGTTCATAATGAAGAATTCCTTTAAAATTCCACCAAACACACAACATCACTTTTTTCGCATGCAAGTCAGGTTTTGGCGTGGGCTGCGGAGCCTCATTTTTGTCCAACCATTGAGGCTGCCTTTTCAAATTAACATACAGCACCCATTCTTCATCTCCGGTAACAATTTGCTCTAAAAACGGCAAACGGTTTTGACGAGAGAGGAGCGAACTGCAAATTGTGACTCTTTGATTACGGTTGTTGTCGGTCAACTCATGAGGAACCCATTTTCCAAACTTTTGGACTTTGCCAAGTGCACGCAATTGATTGGAAATTGTTTTTTGTGAACAATTTAAAGTTGTCGCAAGCTCTTGTTGGGTAATTTGAGGATTTTGCACCAAAAGAGCTTGAAGAGCTTCTTGATCAAAATTGGACACACGGCCTCTACCACTCTTGTCATCTAACGAAAAATTTCCCTCGCGAAATTTCTCAAACCAACGCTGGCATTTTCTGGCGCTAACTGCATCTTGACCAAGAGCACTACAGATGTTTTTTGCAGCCTCACTTGCTTTTCTTCTTAATTGGAACTCGTAAAGCATGCAGTGCCGAATATGCTCTTCATCCGCCATCTTCTTAGCCCTAGTTTTGCAACAAAAACCAAACCAAACACAAACTTTTCCAAGCAAAACTTGTTAATTGCATTTCACACGTTCTGTAGATACCACGTGTTTGAAGGTTATGTCAATACAAGTCAACGCCAAGCAAGATTTTAAATGAATGTTTAAAAACGACATTAATTATTACTAGACCCGATATGTAAGGCTATTGAGCGCTCAAAATGAAGCTAGTATAACTGAAAAAGCACATTAAAATTTTTATTTTATTTAATTTTAATTAATTTATGTTTAAAATGGAAAAAGTGTTATTTTGTTTTTATATTGATTATGTTAAAATAATATTTTGAATACAATGGATTATATTATGTTATTAAAATTAATTTTACCTTTTCAAAAAGTGTTTAATTCTTTTCTACCTGAAAATTTCATTTTATTTTTTATTTTATTTTATTTTTTATTAAATTATTATCTGTATACATATTTTAACATTGCCCCTCCCCCTCCCATATATACCCTTCGTCTCCAGAGTTTTGTGTCCATTGGTTGTACTTATATGCATGTATACAAGTCCTTCGGTTGATTTCTTATCTCCCCCTCTACCTGAAAATTTATTGCTGTGCAATTAACATCCTATTTTTATAGGATAGTGCTTCAATTAAAAGGCAGAGGCTTTCCAGATTGGAATAAAGCAAGATCCAACTCTATGCAGTCCACAAGAAACTTGCTAACATATAAAGACATAAGTAGATTGACAGTAAAAATGAAACAGGTATACCATGATTTAATAAAAGAAAACTGAAAAGACTATATTAATATCAGACAAAATAAACTTCAACACACACAGCACATTACTTGGGATAAAGAGGGACATTGCAAACCATGAAATGCTCAGCTCAACAAGGAGACATAATAACCCTAAAAGTGTTTGCACCTACAACATAACAACGGAGCATCAAAATATGTAAAATATAAACTAAGAGAAATGGGAGGAAAAATAGACAAACCCACAGAGGTAGGTGGAGACTCCCACTCCTCTATCAAGAGTTGTTAGTACAAGTAGACAGAAAATCAAGAAGGATGTAGAAGATTGGAATAGTTAGGTCAACTAAATTGACTTAAGTGCTCACAGCATATACACCAATATTGACTATATTTGGAACCATAAAACAAATCTCAACAAATGTCAAGTGATTGAAACCACACAAGTAATTGATTGCACAGCATTTAATAAAGAATCGCTAAAAAGATCTCTTCAAAACTGCTAAATTTTTGGTCATTCAGCAGCGCACTTCTAAGCCCACATGTCAAAGGTAAAATCACAAAGGAAAATGGAAAATATTTTAAACAGAACTCACTGCAGGTGCTAAAATTTCAATGAAATATTCTAGAAATATTCTAACCAAATACTGACTATCAAATTTCTTTATGAGTCATCAGCTGAAGGTTGACTCCTCCAGCTTTGTCCAATCAGAAGTGGCTAAGTGCGTGCTAATGAATGTTGAGTCAGCAAGTCCCTATCCTTTTATTTTGTTTTGTGTTTTAGTCTTTTTTTTTTCCTGGCTCTTTCTCCTACTGTTTTCTTAACTAAATTGAATTTAGTATTTACTGATCACCTATTAAGCATAAGGTTCACACTAGATACTTATGAAATTGCTAGAGGCCTGGTGCACGAAACTCCTGCATGGTAGGGTCCCTAGGTCTGGCCTGCGAACAAGGTCAATCAGGTCCTTCCTTCTCCCTGCTGCCAGCTGGGGCCTACTGTGCTGCCCCCTGGTTGTCATAGTGGGCAGTCAGTCAAATTCCTGGTTGGCCAAACTCCCAAGGGGATAATTTTCATATTAGCCTTTTATTATATAGGATGAACATGAGTAAAACAAAGCTCCTGATTTCAAGGAGTTGTATTATATGTATTATATACCTAGATCTGATGCCTGGATCTATTAACTCCCAGTTCACTTTTTCTGAAACTTGTTTAAGACAGCATTTTACCAGACAAATGCTTCCTTTGGTTCAACTAGGTCCTAGATTAGTTCATTATATCTGTAAACCTTGAAAGTCTTGGGTTTGTACCATTCCTAATTTTTAGGACTCATTACGGATCTTGGGACTCTGCCAAGTAAAACTTAAAAAAAAAAATTATAGACATGTTAAAAATACGTCCTCTAGCTTGATTCTGAGTTCTTGCTTCTTGGAGTTTCTCTACTTTATCCCAAACAAAAATATCACTGTGTCTTTTTCCTTAACTACTGACAGAATTATCACATGTTTCTGGTATTTTAAATATTGCAGCCACCACCAAAATATTTGCAGTGGAGATCAAAAAGAACTTTGTTGAGCCATTAAATTACAGTGATAAACTCTACCATATAATATATGTTTTTTCCCCCACACCTTGACATACACAGTAGAATTGCATCTTAATTTGAGATTAGGTATTAAAGTCAGAGTAAAGTCACAAATAGTTAAAAACAAATCCTAAAAATTTCCTAATATCAGCACTAACTTTTTAAGGCACAGGCTACTGAAAGTTAAAATGCCAATGATTTTTCCCCCTGGCATTTTCTTGGGCACTGGATGCCAATGCTATTAGGAAGATGAGGTGGGGAATAGTGACCGATAAATAATGATATCTTTTTCTCTCTCTCAGCTAAAAATGTAAAATAGAATTTGAGCAGGCTAACTATGAGAATAAATTAATGTCTCAAAAGCCAAATTGCTTAATATGAGAATAAATGTTATGGAAGACAAATAGCTTAATTATGATCATACTCTTCTGAGTTACATAGTAGAAAATTACATGGTCCAATTATGAATCTAAAATTGTCATTCAGTCTTAAAATATCTCATTAAGGCTTAACTTTAAGTTTTAAACATTTTTAAAATCAAAATATAATAGTGAAACTTTATCAAACTTCAGCAAGAAACTGTATACTTAATATAAAGCAGAACTTTGAATTTCTGTGATTTGACTTCCCCTGTGCTTGCCATTCTGTGCTGATTTCTCTTTTCATTAGAACCCCGTGAGAATACAGATAAAGAAGAAACTCAAAGAACAATATTACACTGGATGCTTACTTGTTAACACAGTGATTGATCTGGATGGCTTGGTAACCGCATGCCCATTTACCACTACCAGAGTGATTATATAATAGAGGCCGTGATAACTGGCCTTAAAGATAACAGGAGGAGGGAGAGTGCTGTTGAATTGCTCAAATTCGAAGAAGTAACTTTTTGATTCACCAGTTATCTTCACAACATACACAGATGATGGGCTTGTGACATCTGAAGCTTCTAGAGAGACAGCGATGCTATTGTCATCTTGAACAGTTACGTGGAGTGTTGTAGCATTCTGTTGAAGGAAAGAGAAAGTACGGGAATGGAGGTCAAACTCAGATCATTGGCAGTAAAAGTATGCTGAGATAATTTTCCCAAAATGAATGTGGTCAGCATTACTTTGTAAAATAGAGTTACACCATATACAAGGAAAGGCAGAAAGAGAGATTAGTTCTCTTCCTTCTCATGATTTTCTCAGGATTTTACTTTGAGGGTTCTTTTTCATTGAAAAGCTCCTTTCAGTTCATGGGTCGAGATATGTAATAAACACAAGATGTACATCATGGAAATGAGTAAATAATGACTGAATAAAATCATCATGGCATTCAACTTCCAGAGAGGCCCTTGTTCTCAGCTCTGCTGGAGGGAGACATGCTGTGGCAAGTCCTAGGAGCATTCTAGAAGAATTTCTCAAGGCAGTGATTTCCTCTCTCCCTTCTCACCTGTCAACTCTAAATAATAAAAGCCAGTATTGAGACACCTGTGGTAATCCTCCTCATTAAAGGTTAGCCAGTCCTTAAAAATAGAAGCTAAGAAGCTCTTTGAAGAAGAGACTAGATGGAGGATTCACAGCACATATGAGAATGGGGGCAGACAAAGGACTGAAAGCTTTGCTTCAAGTTTCTAGGTAAACATTTATGGACAGCATTTGGAAAAGCATTTGTGTGGTTGGTTTAACTACTTCTTCCTGATTTTTCCCCTAAGCTACACAGGCAGGACCAGTCCTTCAGCTCTATGGTCTTAAGTAAGACTCATACACTTTATACCACTTGCTGCTTTGTTTTGAATTTATCTTCTGGGTATGCAGTAGCCTGAGCTCTGAACTTCCTAGACTTCTATGAACGTGGGACAGAAAAACTGCTGAAACTTGTTAAGGACTTACACGGGCCCAGAAGCTAACTAAGCCAGGCAGTCAAACACAGTCATTTCATTTAGTATTCAAATGGCCTCCTAAGATGGCATTATTATTTTCATTCTTAGCTCCTAGTGGAGGAAACTGAGGCTCAGAAAGATTAAATCACTTGACCAAGATTGCACTTCTTGTTTGAGCTCTTAACCACTGATTTACACAAATCAAAATTGAGTTCCATATATGTTTGCCTTCCCCTTTTGACACATTGAGTTTGACACACAGTTTACACTGATAAGTGTTAGTTAAATGAATGGGAAAAATTGCTAATTGCATTAACTAGAGGTGGGCATTTGCCTCTTAGATTTCATCTACTTATTATTAATTTTGGTACCACACATATTGTCAGAAGACACATCAAGTACATAGAATCTAGCAGTACCATAAAAGAGACTATATAGACCAAAAAAAATGTCTATTTTCCTTCTTGTTTACTTTTTTTTAGAAATCTAGTTCTTACAGGTCCTAGTACTTTAAAGAGTATCTTGCCAATAGCAGTTTGATTCTATGTCAATATTTAATAGACTTAATGGTGTTCATGATAGTCTAAGGACCCTAGACCTAAGTCCTTTAAGGGCAAGGACTGTATCTTATCTCTAGCTGCATATCCAGCTCCAGGACCCAACAGGATTGGCCCACCACTGAAACCATGAACCCACACATGCATGCATAGATGACCAGTGCCTGGCTTGAAGTTGTTGCCTGGCTTGAAGTTGTCCCCTGACACATGCTAGGTGCTTTGTGACCTGGGTAATTCTTAACATTTACAAATGTCCCTTTACCCACACATGGTCTTGCCCTCAGACATATGGGTAGGTTTTTAATATTGAGTTCTGTACTTGTTGGGGAAGGTCATGGAGAGGACGCGACCTCTGGTTGACTTGAGATCAGGACCTCTCTTCACCTTCTCTCATTTTCTGGGAAGTGCATTCAGCTTGTCTTTTGATTCCCAGAAGCTGCCCACACTTATAGATTTGAGACAGAAATGTGGTGTTGCTACCAACTTAATGGTATACATGACTGACCCCATTGAAATCCTCTCCTGTTTATGACTGAACCCCTTAAGGAAATCTAAACCTTTAAGATTTGGTGGGCTGTGTGAAGATCTACTCATCTTGTGTGGTCCAAAACAAACTTCTTAAAGGTAAGTCCCCTTGCTTTTGAAACCTGTCACTCACCAATCTGGGTGATTTGCCTTTCTTCCATCTCTCCCTGCCCTCCCTGTATAGGGCTTGTTTCCCATCACACCTGGAGGTTCCTCACCAGTTTGCAAATCAAGAGTATTTTGGAGTCAAACATATAATGTGGCCCCTTCCATACAGCCATGCACTGCTGTATGGAAGGGGCCACATTATATGTTTGATGATGTTGTGGTCAACAACAGACTGATATCTAATGGTTGTCCCATCTATATATATATAAAAGCCAAGTGACTGGAATGACCAGAACGGCTGGAAAGACTAGAATGATCGCTTGCTAATAACATGCACTGCCACCAACCAATCTCCTTTGGCCCCTCCCCCTGGACACCTCCACTCCCAATCTACCCCCCCACCATGCCCTTGATTGGGTGCAGAACTGGCTGGACCCCACCCATGCATGAATTTGTGCATTGGGCCTCTAGTAAGATTATAATTGGGCTGAAAAACTTTTATTGCCTAGCTAGGGGTGTCGAACTCAATCAGAGAAGGGGCCAAAATCTAAAATCCAGCCTAAATCGCGGGCCGAATGGTTTACTGAACAGTCATAAACTGTCATTGTGATGGAAACGCAGTGGAGTGCAGTGATGACAGCGCTGTGCGGGCCACATTGCAAGGCCTGGTGGGACGAATTTGGCCCGCGGGCCTTGTGTTTGATACATGTGGAGCTAGTGTGGACTATAGTTGTGACATGGTAGCCTTTGTAATATTGTAAGGCCTCAACACATTACTTATATGTTTGTAGTGATGCTGGTGTAAACACACATACTACTGCATACAAGTACATCACATACAATTATGTACAGTACATAATACCTGATCATGATAATTAACAACTATGTTGCTGATTTATGTATATACTGTTTCTACATTTTATCATTATTTTAGGGTGTACTCTTTCTTTTTTTTTAATATATATTTTTATTGATCTCAGAGAGGAAAGGAGAGGGAGAGGTAGAAACATCAATGATGAGGGATAATCATTGATTGGCTGCCTCCTACACACGCCACACTTGGAATCAGGCCTGCAACCTGGGCATGTGCCCTAACCTGGAATCAAACCATGACCTCCTGGTTCATAGGTTGATGTTCAACCACTGAGACATGCCAGCTGGGATAGGTGTACTCTTTCTACTTATAGAAACATTTGCTGTAAAACAGTATGCTGTGTAACACCAGCAGCAGCCTCATACACTGTGCTTTATTCACTCTGGCATTGTTTTCTACAGTAACATGCTGTACAGTCTTGGAGCCCAGGAGCAATAGGTTATACCACACAGGCTAAGTGTGCACTAGGCTAGACCACCAAGACTGTAGGAGGGCACTCTGATGTTTGCATAGCAACAAAGTTCCCTAATGACATTTATTTCTCCTGCTCGTTTAAGTGGTGCATGACTCTATGGCCAGTGGCCTGGGTGGATTGAGAGGCTAAACCAAGCACTGAATATGCAAGAACATGAAGTCTGGCTTTTATGCGTTATTTGTTATAGGAGTTGATTAGCTCAGAAAACAACAAGTTTACAAGCATTATATTTGCATTTATTAAGAATCATTCACTCCATATTTTAATAGGCAATATCTGAAAGTTTTATGATGATGGAAAGAATAGATTCAATTTTATAAAGTGTTTAAGAAATGTATGCCTAATGTGTCACGATGCTTTGTAGATAATGAATCTTCCAGGGAAAGGAAGCTAATCTTCTCAAATCAAAGGATAGCTTTGGAGATCAGCCATGAAATCAGCATTGGCCCCTGGCTCCCAGGTTGCTAAAAAAAAATAAAATAATAATAATCAGGTGGGCTAATCAGGTTCAGGTTCTGTCAGCAGCACTAATGAGAAGAAGGCATCAGGCCAAGTGCAATCTAGGCATTGGGCCTAAAAGAAATGTCGTCATACTGTTTCTTCTCTGGCCTCTTTGCTTCAGCTTTTCCTAGAATCTATATTTAGAATAAAATTCTGAATATATACTTCATGCACATAATCCCTGCTGAGATGTAGAGCAAGAAGGAAGAATTAAAAGTAACAGAAATGGATCTGACAAATTTAGGCAAGGCTAACACTGATTTATTTGGTAAATTAAAAAATATATATTTAAAATATTTTCCCCTACCCTGAGAATGAGTAATAGTATTATTGCTTGACTCTAGAGTGAAAATAGTTTCACTAAAATTTCCTTTGCATAACAAATTTTAATATAGAAATTTCTCCGGTCCAATACCCTCATTTCACACTCGAGAGGACAGTCGTGCAAATTAATGTCAGGACAAGGTCTGGGATCTACATGTCATTGGTACAACTCTTTCCTGAACTGTTTGAGGCAGTGAGAAGGGCTGGGGTGCCTGGCTGCAGTGGAGGAGGAGGAGCCAGGAGCTTGCTACCTGTTCCATAGCCTGGAGACTACCGAAGCTACTGAGATAGAGTGGGCAGCATTTAAGAAGAGAAAAATGCAGGATGAGTTCCTAGAATATGGGACAAGGAAGAGGACAGGCCACAGATATATAACAGTCAGAAATCCTAGGAAGTCCTCCAACATCCCTGGCAAATTTAATTACTATTATCTATCGCCTAGAGGCCCAGTGCACTAAATGGTGCACAGGTAGGGTCCCTAGCAGCTGCTGACTATAGTCAGGGCTTTCCCCTGCTGTCAACTCTGGCTGCCAGCTGCCGGCTGCTGGCTGGGGCCTTCCTTCTGGTGGTCAGTGCATATCATAGAGAGTGATTGAACTTCTGGTCAGTTGAACTCCCAAAGGGACACTTTGCATATTAGGCTTTTATATATATAGATAACCAATCTGAACCAGGCTTTGCACTGCAAATTTTATGTGTGTGTTTTTTTCTTTTATTCCTCATAATAGTCTTCAGACATGAGAGTTACTTTCCCCATTTTATTCATAGAAGTTAAATAA